TTTTTTTCTTTTTTTTTTTTTTTTTTTTATCATGAAAACAATATCTAAAATGGAAGCAGCTCTGAACTTGTCACAGAACTGGACCCCACCTCCTTGCATATTTATAGTCATCAAACGACATGAATTGGTTCTTATTTTATGGTCAGGAAACTATGATTGATAAAATATTAATGTGTTATTTGAAGACCAGTAAACTAGATTATTTACTTCTCACATAGGACACACAGCCCACATCTTTACGTGGATCCTGTGACTCTCTCCTCTCCTTCCTTCCTTCCTTCCTTCCTTCTTTCTTTCTTTCTTTCTTTCTTTCTTTCTTTCTTTCTTTCTTTCTTTCTTTCTTTCTTCCTTTCGTTAATTCTTACCCAAGGATATTTTGAGAGACTGGAAGGGAGGGAGGGGGGAGAGAGAGAAACATCGATGTGAGAGAGACACACAGACTGGTTGCCTCCTGCGCCTGCCCCAAACAGGGCCGGGGGTCGAACTTGCTACTGAGGTGTGTGCCCTTGACTGGGAATCAAACCCGGACCCTTCCGTGTGTGGGATGGTGCTCTAACCACTGAGCAACACCAGCCAGGGCTGTGGCTCCCTTTCCACGAGCAAGTTCAGCCCCTCAGCACATTGTTGAAGGTCTGTGCTCCCTCAGTGCCTGTGGTGTTCAGGCCAGCACGTTCTCAGAAAGTCCACTAATAACCGCAGAAACTTCCAAATAAGATTTCCACTGACATTTCACTTCAATTCAAAAGGCACTAGACATCAACAAATAGAGCTCACTAGAGCCTACACACCTGAAGTTAGTTTCCAGTGTAGAAATACCTTCAGGGCCAAACCTCATTCCAGAGCAGAGTCTAAATCTAGAAAATGGTACTTTTTTTCCCCCTTAACACCAGCACCAGGAGTAGCATTATTATCACCATCACCACCATTAACATCTCCATCACCACTGCCATCCTCACCACCATCACCATCACCATCACCACCATCACCACCATCACCACCACCACCACCACCACCATCACCACCATCACCACCACCACCATCACCATCACCACCATCACCACCACCACCACCACCATCACCATCCACACCATCTTCACCATCACCACCATCATCACCATCACTACCATCCTTACCACCGCCATCACCATCCTCACCATCCTCACCATCACCACCACCACCATCCTCACCATCCTCACCATCACCACCATCACCATCCTCACCATCCTCACCATCACCACCATCACCATCCTCACCATCCTCACCATCACCACCATCACCATCCTCACCATCCTCACCATCACCACCATCACCATCCTCACCATCCTCACCATCACCACCATCACCATCCTCACCATCCTCACCATCACCACCATCACCATCCTCACCATCCTCACCATCACCACCATCACCATCCTCACCATCCTCACCATCACCACCATCACCATCCTCACCATCCTCACCATCACCACCATCACCATCCTCACCATCCTCACCATCACCACCATCACCATCCTCACCATCCTCACCATCACCACCATCACCATCCTCACCATCCTCACCATCACCACCATCACCATCCTCACCATCCTCACCATCACCACCATCACCATCCTCACCATCCTCACCATCACCACCATCACCATCCTCACCATCCTCACCATCACCACCATCACCATCCTCACCATCCTCACCATCACCACCACCACCATCCTCACCATCCTCACCATCACCACCACCACCATCCTCACCATCCTCACCATCACCACCATCACCATCCTCACCACCATCACCACCACCACCATCACCTCCATCCCCTCCATCCCCATCACAGTGATCACTGCCACCGCCATCACTCTCTCCTCCATCCCTAGCACCACCAGCACCCCACCATACTAACTGCCTTCTAGTAGCTTCTAGTCATCAGAACACTGAAAGTAAAGATTCTCACCTAACAAAGGGCTGTAACAGATGTAAGCATAATGTGAGCTGGAAGAACAACCAACCCTACGGGTGTCTGAAGTTTTCCCGTTTGATACGCAGCCCATCCAGGGCCTTCATATTAGAGGCATAAGCGAGATCTGAGGTCAGCAGTGATGAGCTGGCCAGTGCTTGGGGGTGGACTTACATAACCAGGTAGGAGACAAACTCTGTTTTCTTTCCAGCCAGATGTTCACCCTGGCAGGTGCTGGGCCTTTCCAGGTTCCCAGGGCCACGCCCTCATCAAGCTCGTGGGGAAGATCATACCCACCGCTGTCACCATGGAGCACATCTCGGAGAAGGTTTCTCCCTCAGGAAGCATCTCCAGCGCACCCAAGGAGTTTTCTGTCCACGTGAGACGCTGCCTAAACCTCGGTTCAGAGAGGGTGATGGTAGAAGGGGGTGGCCGGGAGGTAGGAGCCGGGCTCTCAGCTGCGCTGTGCAGCTGGCCAGTTGCATCGCTGTGAGAAAGTCACTTGTTTCCTGGGCTCCGCTTTGTCATCTACCAAGTGCGGGAGTTGGGCCAGATGATTTGTATTACTTAATTTTACTTTTACCAAAGTCATGCACGTATAATGAAAACATGGAACATTGCCGCATGTTTATAATGAAACACGGCTTGTCTCTGTCCCACCTCTCCTGCCCCTGATTCTTACTCTCTGGAAGCTTCATTTGTAACAGTTTTAGCTGAAAATAATTATTTGGGTTCTTGCCTTCGTGTTTGCTTTTACTAATTTCTTAATTGTTTTCAGTTTTGGTTGTTATCTACTGACGTTTTCTGATGGGAAATGAAGCTTAGCTCCCTTCTATGGTTTCCCAGCCTCAGCATGTGTGTGTCTTTATTATTGAGACATAATTCACACACCATGTAGTTCATCCATTTAAAATGCACACTTCAGTGGCTCAGTATAGTCACAGAGCTGTGCATCCATCACCATAATCTATTTTAGCATATATTTATCACTCCTCAAAGAAACCCTGTACCTCTTAGGTGCCACCTCCCACCCCCGCTCTCAGTCCCCCGGCTGTGGGGCAGCCACCGATATTCTGTGTCTCTAAAGCTCGGCCTTCTGGACACTTCATATAAATGGAGTCACCTGCGTGGTCGTTTGTGAATGGCTTTTCTCACCTGGCATTGTGCTTTCAAGATTCATTATGTTACAGAAAGGGTCAATATTTTGTTTTTTTTTAACCGCATTTTATTTTATCCACTCATCGTTTGACGGACCTTTGAGTTGTTTCCACGCGTCTGGCTGCTGTGCCCTGTGCCCTGGGGGGTCTGGAGAGTGGTCGCTAGTTGAACACACAGCTGCCCCACTTACTCTGATGGGGGGTCCACTCCTTACAGCCTCTGTCCGTCACTTTCTCCGCAGGGCGTCTCCAAGGAGTGTGAAGGGGAGGAGGCTCTCCTAGGTCAGTTCGTATATAACAGAACAGGAACCACCGTGCAAACGTTTGAGCTCCAGGTAAGGAGTGCGGGGCAGGGTGCGCGGGGCTCCGTCCCGGGAGGGGTGGCCGGGGCTGCATGATGCAGACTCGGGATTAACGGTGACAAAGCGGGAGGTCAGCAGGCCCCTCTGAACCTCGGTCCTTAGCACCAAGCGCTTGTGTGCGTTTCAAGGCAGAAGACAGGCAAATACCAAAGGGTGTCCAAGCCGGATCCTTCATTCGCTCTCACATTTTAAAATATGCAGGGTGCCCCCCAAAATGTATATGCACTTTAACAGCTGAGAGCTCAGTTTCGAAAATGAAATGTGTTTTAATAAACACTGCCTTTATAATTATTCGGTGCCTGCATGCATCTTTGGGTGGCGGACACCCAGTGTATTTACCTTCTCAGTCCTGACCTCACCTTGCTGTTAGGTGAGCGAGTCTCTGCCTCACCTTCCACGTGACATGCTAGAGGCAGAGCGGAACTCAGAGGAAGGGACAATAAATATTTAATACCAGGTCATACAGGTAGCTCCTCTCCCTAACTCAATGGGGGAAAGTACCAGCTGTTAATACGTAATTCCTTAATGACATTAATTCCTGAAGGTCGTGAAACATTTTCACTTTTCTCAGCAGCCGCAGGAAGTGGTGAGGCACAGAGGGTGTCTCGTATCGTGTGAAAACAAGGGTTTTAGGGCACTGCTTGGCCAGTGGTGAGAAAGCAAAACGTTAGAAATGAACGTACCTGTGGAGTTTCATATTTGGTTGAATATCCGCGTCTCTCCCTCCCACCCTGGGGCAGCCAGCGGGCAGCACTGGGGGGCGTGGCCGTGGCCACGGGAGCACGTGGCTGTCCGGGCCACCTTGGCGACTCCCTCCCCCGGCATTTGTCTTAGAGGGGCTCACTTCTCCCCCATCAGAGCTCGTTAGATTGTACTTAAGGCAGGGAAGAGTTCCTTTCCCATCATGGCCACATTGCTTAGGGTTCTGCAAGATAGGTTTAAAAATTTTTTTTTTTTTTAGAGACAGGAAGGGAGAGAGAGAAAAAAAACCCATTTATTGTTTCACTTACTGATGCATTCATTGGTGGATTCTTGCATGTGCCCTGACTGGGAATTGTGAGATGGATTTCCTGATAAGGCATTAATTTCATCTTTTCTTTATTTCTAGCATGACGTTTCTGAACCCTTACAATGTGTGAAACTTAAAATCCTCAGCAACTGGGGGCATCCGAAATACACATGTTTATACAGGTTTAGGGTCCACGGCAGCCCCGAGGGCCACAGCTAGAGGGTCTGGTGCCAACGGCCACGAGCCCGGGTCTGGAATTCTTGCACTCTCACCCCTTAGGCTTCCTGCACTCATAGGAATTGAATATCGGGTTGACGCTCCCCAATAAAAAGTGAATGAATTTTACTAATAAAAACTGTGAAAGCAATTTCAGTCTCCTTGTGGTGGTTTAGTTTTTTGAGGAGGAACCATGTTGTTGCAGCACCGACAAAGGAATTTGTCTAGGAGAAGATGTGTGATTCAGCCTTTCTCCTAACAGCCGCGTCGCCTTGGTCGGTTCATTCACGCCAGGCATGGCTGTCTGCTGTGGCCACGGACCAGGAGGCACTGGTCAGCGCAATTAGGTTAGCCCAAGAAATCAGAGGTTAAAGTTAGTGAGGAAGTCTGAAAACAAGTATTTTCAGATGATTTGATGAATTCCTTCAAGTGCAGTAAAGTCGATTTAAAAACGCATTACAAACCAGGAAAAACTGCAATAGGTTAGTGGATGCAAAGTGATCAATGTCACTCATCAATACCAACAACAACCAGTGAGAGGGTATCATCTACAGAAGCCACAGCAAAGATGTTTAAAAATCAGGTAAAAGAAGAAATAAAGCTACCCATTCGAAGAAACTTTTAAACGGTGGGCGATGCCTAGACAAAGCCCTCAGTAAATGGAAAGACAGCCCTTGGTAGCTCACGGTCTCTGCAGCTGTGAGGACGTTTCACCCATATTTCCAGCTCCACCCCCGAGTGCCTTTTGAGCACAAGATGAAGACCCTTCTTGCACAATAAACAAGCATAAGAGCATCGGCACAGTTCCCCTGATCACTGTGTGGCTGAATTTCTAGCCCCTTGGCCTGTTTTAAATCAGAAGGGGATTCGCTGTCTACACCCACAGCATTTGAACACACATCCCATTGGAAAGCTCAGTCCCATTCAGGCTCTGCGAGGTGAGCTCCATCCTTGCCTCAGAATCATTTGAAAAAACATAGGAAAGCCCAGCCGGTGCGGCTCAGTGGTTGAGCATCGACCTAGGATCCAGGAGATGGAGGTTCAATTCCCCGTCGNCAGAATCATTTGAAAAAACATAGGAAAGCCCAGCCGGTGCGGCTCAGTGGTTGAGCGTCGACCTAGGATCCAGGAGATGGAGGTTCAATTCCCCGTCGAGGCACATGCCCGGGCTGTNGGGCTCCATCCCCAGTCGGGAGCGTGCAGGAGGCAGCCGATCAATGACTCTCATCATTGATGTTTCTCTCTCTCTCCCTCTCCCTTCCTCTTTCTGAAATCAATAAAGACATATTTTTTAAATGTAGGAAAGTAGTGNCTCCCTCTCCCTTCCTCTCTCTGAAATCAATAAAGACATATTTTTTAAATGTAGGAAAGTAGCAGGAATATATTATCAATACTGGAATACTGAATTATTCATCTGCTAAATTTAAAATTTAAATTTAAGACAACTAAGAGTGCATAAGATTCCTTTTGTCTGTCAAGAAAGGATCATTACAGCTTAATTTTATATTTATTGGGTCAAAATTCCTTATATTATTTGGGCCTTTGTCTAGGCAGAAAGTATAACCACACAAATCAGGAAGTTTTTAAAAAATGTTTTAACTTTTTATGGAATAAAATGATCTAAAGTAAAGGTCGATTTATTATGAAACATTGTTTACAAAGCTTATTTAAATACATTTTAAAATCATATTCATGATCTCTATAGCAAACACCTCATTTAATAATTTATCTCACTTTTTAAGTCAGCTTACAAAGTAGCATGACATATCACTCTAACAGTGTGGCCTGGAATTTAGCTTCATCCTATAGTCTTGAAACAGNTCTCACTTTTTAAGTCAGCTTACAAAGTAGCATGACATATCACTCTAACAATGTGGCCTGGAATTTAGCTTCATCCTATAGTCTTGAAACAGCTGTCTGTAGCTTTTATAGTTCTCACTTTTATAAAATCTGAGTTATTTTTATATCTAGAGTCCACGTGAGGTTAAAAACAGTCGCAGGCTCCTGTTTGCAAAGCAATTAAAAATAACACATTGTTAACACTGACGATCTTGTCTTGGAAGAAACAAATTGGATACAATTTTGTTCTGTTCCCCTCCCCTCCGTTTTGAAGTCTGCATAATTATGTTGTAAGAATTTTAACAGGGCCCGGAGACATTCATCATGCGGGAAAATTGTGTTTGGCACCATTTAAACTTCAAAGGCGTGAAAGCCGGAGCCCAGCGCGGGGCGCGCCCGAGCATTTTGCTTGGCCCGGTGCAGAGCGGCAGTCGGTTCTATTCTTGCTGTTTTAGCAGAATCGGCGACGGACGTCGCA